CCCCCCCCCCGAAATTATGAAAAAAAGTGTATTTTGCAATAAATTAAAAAGTTATTAAAAATTACCATGAAAATTAAAACTGCAAATTTTTAACGATCCGTTCACGATATTTGTCAAATATTAGTAATAGTTAACTTTTGTCTTTGATAATAAAAAAATTAATGAGTAGATCGTTGTTTGTAGTTCCGGTGTTTCCTTTTTGATGACGGTTGTGTTGCGTAGTGACGAAATAAATATATCTGATTCGATCAAAATTCAATTTTTATTGATTCGCAGGTAGTTTAAATCGTTTTTAACTTACTTTTTCAATTCATAAATTTGTCTTTAAAATAACCATAAGAAATATTTTTATAATGTGTTTGATAAAATATTTTTAATTGGAACTGTCCGTGTAGAAAGAATGTCACGTTTTTTCTCTAAAATAGCAAAGTGAAGTAAGAAATATCATTTTAATCGGTGTTTTCAATGTAATCTCAAATAAATTTTATTTTAGATTAAATTGAGATTATTCGAAGAATAACCGCGTAGCCACGAATTTTGTAAGTCACAAATAATTATTTTTCTTCCAATGGGATTTCTTCCTTTTACTTTACGGACGGCCCCATTAAGCATTTTAAAATTTGAACAGCTTGACCGAAGTTACAAAATTTAATAAAACTCATATTTTCTCACTTTTCTATATTAATTTATGCAATAATTATTATTATTGTTCAAGAGACATGGAAGAAAACAAAAAAAGAAAAGGCGATAACTGTGGGAGCAACATGATATACTGGAAAAAATGGTGTGATCGAGTAGCTACTACTATTGAAATACCTTCAACATCAACTGTAGCAACAGATCATATTTCACCATCAAAGTCTGTTATAGAAGCAGAATCTGTTTCTGATTCTAAAGATGAGCCCCACTTAATTGCAGCTAAATTAGACATTGGTTTGTATTGTAATAAAGATATGGACGATTCTCTTAAACTTCAAATTATAAAAGAACCTTGGATGCCATCTAAATATTATGAATTTCCAGCTTCTACCAAACGAAATCTGAGATTTCAACTTAGCTGGATAAATTGATTTCCTTGGATTACATATTCAGAAGTAAATACTGGAGCATTTTGCAGAATTTGCGTCATTATGGGTAGATCGTTTGAAAGAAAAGGAAGTGGAAAGTTGCACTTGAAATTTTTAAAGCACACTCACAAACCTCTTATCATAAGAGAAATTCTGAACTAGCAGACAGTTTTTTTAAAGTGATGTCTTTAAAAACGTTATCCGTAGTTGATCAAATAAATTCAGAAAGAAAACGGCAACAAGAAGAGAATAAAAGCAAACTGACATCAATAGTGAAAGCAATCATTTTATGTGAAAAACAAGGCATACCATTGAGGGGAAAATCTGACTCAGGAAGAATACAGACTTTTTCAGAACCAGAAGAATCATTACTTAATGAGGGCAACCTTCGTGCCATATTAAAATATGGGGCTCAATCTGGAGATAAAATCTTATCTGAACATTTATTAAATGCTTCAAATAATGCTCTTTATACAAGTCCGCAAATTCAAAATGAAATTATAGAGATTTGTGGTGCTGCTATTTAAGAAGTGATAATCAAGGAAGTTAAAAAAGCTACTTTTTTTGCCGTTTTAGCAGAGGAAACTACCGATATTGCAAATGTTGAGCAAATGTCATTTTGTCTGCGTTATGTTGTTGATTCTGGTGATGCCAAGCACCACGATATATCAAGGAAATGTTTTTTGGATATATACCAGTTACGATGTCACTGGGATTGGATTAGCTAATGTTATTCTTAATAATATTAAAAGTAATGGTCTGGAGCTTTCTCACATGGTTGGACAAGGTTATGACGGGGCTGCATCAATGAGTGGACATTTGCACGGTGCTCAAGCATATGTTAGAAAGGAATGCAAACATGCTTTATATGTACACTGCAGTGCACATTTTCTTAACCTTGCCATTGCTGATTCATGCTCATGGTCAGAAATCCAAAACTGTGTAAGTATTGTAAAAGCAGTTGGTAATTTTTTCAAGTATTCTTCTCAGCGAACTGCTGTATTAAAAGATAATATATGCAAAGTTTTGACATTACCAGCAAACCACCAAAATAGTTTACTTGCTATGTGTGAAACAAGGTGGGTACACAAACAAGAAGCCGTCATACGTTTTAAGGAAATTTATCCAGCGATAATGGCTGCTCTTAATGAACTACAAAATCATCACAATAAAGAAACCTCTCATCAAGCAGTCCAACTCATGAATACTCTCCGTACTTCTGATTTTGTTGTATGCTTAATAGTGTTGGAAAAAATCATGGGGTACACATTGCCACTTTTCTAGCAATTACAAGGCAACTGACACAGACCTTCTTAAGGCATGCTTACATGTCGAAAATATTTTAAGATTTTTAGGCATTTTAAGAAACAATGCTGATAACGAGTTTACCATTCTTTGTGATGAAGCAAAAAAATTGCTAGAAGATAATGGAGGTAATCTGAAGATGCCACGCATTGTTGGTAAACAAATGCATCGCTCTAACGCTAATGCAGAGGATGTTATTTCATATTATAGAATCAATTTTTTTATTCCTTTCTTAGACCATACAATCACACAGTTAAATGAAAGGTTTGAAAAACATAGAAAATCTATAATGGCACTGACAAGCTTATTACCTCAAAATTTAGACACAATGTCAGAAACATGTCTGGATGAGTTGATTAAATTATATTCATCATTGCTGCCGGAAACAAATAAACGTTTAATTTTATCTGAATGTCAGGTATGGAAAGCTAGCTTTACCTCCACCAAACCTAAATCTGCTTTGGAATGTTTGGATCTGTGCGATAAAATTTTATACCCAAACATCTACACATTGCTACATATTTTGGCAACTTTGCCCGTTTCTACCACTACTCCTGAAAGAACATTCTCAAGTCTAAGAAGACTGAAAACCTATCTTAGAAACACAACGTCAGAAAATCGATTGAATGGCCTGGCTCTAATGAACATTCATTATAATGTTAATTTAGATACCAAGCATATTGTTGATATATTTGCAATGAAAAAACGAAAAATTTTGTTATAAATTAAATTTAATTTTCAAATTGAAAAAGTAGATTTAACGTTGATTTACACACACACGCACGCACATATGTATATTGCGCCGAAAGTATATAATAACATTTGAATAAAATAAAAATTTACGGTTTTTGTTTTTTTTTTACTTTTTTAAACCCCCCCCCCGAAAAAAATTCCTGGCTACGCCTATGTATACATATGTATATATATACATATATATATATATATATGTGTGTGTGTGTTGTGTGTGCATATATATACACATAGACATTATTGTCTTTGACTCTATATTAAAATATGTATAGTTTTATATATTGCATAACTATATATACACATATATTTACACGTACATATATGTCGGACATACATATACACATCTAAAATCAAAATATCATATCGCGTGTTGTTAGCCATAACATATGTACGTAAGCACGTATTAAGTATTGATAACAGCTTGCTACACATATCTCGTGTTGCGTGGTTACCTGATAATTTGTTTCACCTTAAGGTTAATTAAAATGAATTATTAATCACTAGCATCATTACCAACAAATTTGCTGATTGAAATTTAGCATATGACCATTTATAACCAAAGTACAAAATAGAAAGTTAGTGCCGCGAGTTAAATAGCTTTATAACTTCAAAGTTTTATATCCATTTATCCAATTTTGCATATTTAACAACCATTTATAAAACTATAATATTCTAATTAGGTTCTGAAGATGGCACTTGTAAAAACCTCCATCTGCTAACATGTTTTTGAATTGAAAAACAACACCGCACCACTTAAAATTTCTCTACAATGCTTCCCCACACAAAGTTGGACATCATGTTTAACCAAACCCATACATGTATATTTGTGTATATAGGGAGTATATTTTCTTGAATACATAATTTGTTGAACTCGATCGAATCTGCCAAGTTTTTCTTTCTTTTTCATGTTTTCAAGTTTTCTATTTAGTTTCAATTTTCTAGTTAAGTTTTTTGTTTAAATACGAAAATGAGAAACTAATGAAAAAAATTAGAAAACTTGAAAATGACTAGAAACAACCTGGTAAATTCGTTCGAGTCATGTATATATATATATATATATATATATATATATATGTGTGTGTGTGTGTGTGTGTGTATATATATATATATATGTGTGTATATATATATATATATACATTTATGTATATATAGCGTGTGTGTTTTGGTTTAAGTATAAACGATTGTGTGTGTATGAGAGTGTGTGTAAATAAAAACGATTGTATGTACCTTTATTTACACACACACAAACACACACACGCACATACACATGGTGTGTGCAAATTAAAACATGTACAAGTGCCCCAGATCTGAATTAATCTACGTACTTAATTGAAGAGTCTTGGTCTGTACTGAATAGAACAAATTCAATAACACATGCACTCGCCTATTCCACAAAATATGCATTCACATATCCAACACACGTGCATTCACACATCCAACCACACATGCACTACGCATCCTACAACACATGCATTCACACATCCAACCATCCATGCACTACGCATGCAACAACACATGCATTCACACATCCTACAACACATGATTTCACACATCCAACACACATGCATTCACACATCCAACACACATGCATTCACACATCCAACACACATGCATTCACACATCCAACACACATGCAGTCACACATCCAACCACCCATGCATTCACACATCCACTAACATAATATAAGTGACAAAAGACTAATGATAATAATTTTTTTAATTACAATTTAATATTAATTTTATTCGATTTAATCCCATTCGTACACCAGAGGACACTTTAAAAATTGATTAAAGTTGCATTTTTACATGTAACGTATTGATATTGAAACAAGTCTACATGTGCCAAATTATACGATAGATTGATCTTATTTGTCTCAAGCTTCACAAAATGAGCCCGTTTGAAAGTCCTCAAGTTTGAACAAGACACTTGTTATAATTTAACGTGCCTTGCATTCATTTAAACACAAACACACACACGACAATATATGTACACTTATATCTTGTTAGCATGATCTAAGAGTCTTCTTGGAATTTGCGCAAACATGAACCGACATGCGCGCATTTAACAGAGCGCTAAAAAAATTCGTACCCACTCGCACGCAAACGTACAACAGGCGCACATGAACACACACAAAATAATTATAGTGCGTTCTTCAAATAATGAAGAAGCTGACACAACTCAAGGCTGTGAAATTATATAAACTAAAAATAAGCAGAAGAGTTATAGAGAAATATAATCAACAGGTATCGTCTTTATGAAAGAAAAATTTTTCAACCACTATTTTTAATTATTACTATTATTATTGCAGAACCAAATTCAATCGAAGTTTCAAAAAAAAACACAGCAAAAATAAAATTCATCGTCATTACACCATTTTTGTATTTGGTATTGGAATCTTAACACAAGACACAACATGATATGGCATAACAAGCATAAAAAAGCCATGAATAAAAAATAAAATTTTATTCAATAAAACGTCTAATTATGTATGACATCATCGTAAATCCAATGTCATTTTAAAAGAAATGATCTCTAGCTTTCACAACATCTTCATCCAAAGTTCCAAACTAGTGAAAAATCCACAATTCCTATTGCAAAGCATTGCTCACCTACATTGGTGCTCAAATTTTGAGTTGAGTTTGAATACGTAACGCCTCGTTTTATCCCATTTTCTGCTGGCGTCTTTTATAAAGGACACTTACAAAAAAATTCATTAAAAATCGAAATCTTGTTATATTTGTATCTTTTTTTTTAAACATTGTATACTTCCTTCTATAATTTATTTTTGTAAAAAAATATTTAGTTGCGCGTGCCGTTGATTTTTAAAATCAATTTAAATAGCCGAGTTTGCAAAATTGGTGAAAAAATGTCTCAACATAAAAAGTTAGTAATTTTAATATATTATGGATTAAATTTGTGTATTAATGTATTTTAAATATTATTTTGCAAAAAACAAATCCTATTTAATTAACTGTTGAATATTTTAAAATCAGTCATAAGCATGTGTCCTTTATAGCAGAATAATGTAAATACAATAAACACTATCAATGAATTATTATTAGTTTGTATGAACATAATAATAAATTTACTATCTATTGTAAAGATAT